CTACGGAGGTTGTGGAGTTTCTTTTACTGATTAACTTGCCGATATGTCTAGAACGTTATCGAGGAAAGAAGAATTGGAAATTAGAATCCTTAGTATTACATGAATAATATTTGATGAAAGATTTTAGAAATAAACTAAAATCTTTATTGGCTACGCCGGTACCCAAATCTGGTTTAAGTACAAGTAAGGGTAGAAAAGAATTTAGGGATCTTTTAAAATGATTTTTCACTACAAACATATAATGCCTCAAAAACGAACCAAGGCCGTCACTGGTCTTCTTCGATTCTCTTTTTCCTCTTTACCCTTCCCGCCATCCCGCATACCGCCCGTCCCCTCCAGTCTGATCTCGCAAACTTTGAAAACTCTTCATATAGTTAGGTTCAGCATGAATAATGCATGGATGCAATTTTCGACCGACAAACTTTGGCAATATTTTATCAATTTCAACTTTATTTACGTACAAACTGAAATTTATAACTTAGTCATAATTTTCAAAGGCAAAACTTTGTAATATAAAGTGCCGCGAATGTGTCTAAATATTATTGTAGAACTGCGTTTCTGTTTAAAGAATCCGGTACAATTCCTCTTGTTTAACGAAACTCGCGCATAACAATGTGAAGCCAAAACAACTAGTAATAAGCTGAAATTTATTGCTACTTCAATACAGACCTCAACCATTGGAGCTATGATAGAATTTAAAGCTGAAACAGAAACTAACCTAACCTAACCTAAACTGTTAATGGTAATTTTCTGTAGTTCGCTCCATTCAAAGGGAAATCTGCTGAAAAATCTAATTCCAGTTTGACCAAAGTATCGTCCATATTTCTATTCCCAAATGGTGTTAAGGACTCAAACTTCGATATACATCCGGTAGTTCAGATAGGTTAAGGCCACCGAAGAATGCAAGGATCAAATCAACGAAATGTTGCAACATCCGCGAAGCTGTCGATTCTGTCAACGTTTACATAAACTTTTTGAATAGCGAAATATAAAATACATGAAAAATAGCAAGAGAAACTAGAAAATATTATCTGTGCCGTTCCTTCAAATTAAAATTAAGCGTCGGGCTTGCGGCATGCGTCAACCAATACGAACTAACCAACGGTCGAACGGAAACAGCAAACAAGGGCACGCGGTCGCCATATTACTGGTACATTGTCGAACTGTAATTTCCGAAGTGTTCGTTCCATATAAATATGAGTATTTTGCAGTATCCATATTTGTTGGTTGTAGCAAAAGCATCAAGCATGATATTAGTTAATTACGAGGTTAATTTATTAAGCACATTCTTTATTAATTATGGAGAAATGGCTTTCATTTGAGTCAAGTTTGAAAAAGACGACGACGGTGGCGGCTCATCTATAGTCCATTACAGTGGCTTAACTCCTAGAAAATCAAAATGTTTTTGGCCGCCCACCAAAACACAAGGCAAATTTAAAAAAAAAGTTAAAACAGGGAGCATCTCCAAAGGAAGATTCCTGGCTCTTTTGTAACGTGTATAGAACTTTTTTTTGAGTCAGGTAAGACACTGATAAAAAAATCGTTTCGTTCCAAAGTGATTATATGATAGTGAAAGTGATAGTGCAGATGATATATTAATAAAAATATCTGTGATTTTCAGGCTGGTATGAAAATATAAAATATTTCTTAAGATTGAAGTAAACTATTTTTAGGTCGGAATGTAGAACAGTCAGTCGATTACCAACTTTACACTTATAAGTCTATAAATCAGTCCTCTAAGATCACTGAATTAAATTAAAGAGCAAAATAAGGAAAAATTGGGAATTTTCTACTTCTGAGTTGTGCTGTTAAAATATTTATATCTTCTATTTATATAGCCAAATTTTGTACAGAATTGGCTCATAATTAATTAAAGAATTTTGTAAAACATTGTCATTATATATAATTTTTCAGCTTCTCCCTTTGAGAATTCTTTATTCAAAATTAAAGTCACTAGTTAAATCATCGAAATTACCCTTGTAACAAATAGGTAGACGATTATTAGAACATATTTAACAGTACAGATTTATATTAATTTAATTTGAAAACCTTACATTACGATTTTGAACATAATTGTGGGCCTCTGAACGTCGACGATCAAAAAGTATAAAAAACTGTTTTTAAAATTCTACTGTAACGACAATTAACTTTTCTTAGGCAGATTGTTAGGGAATGATTGACAATACAATTATTAAAATTCATAATATTTTAAAGAGGAATGATGACCCGATTTTTATTGTGGGGAGAGGGTTTTCTGAATTATTAAATTCAGTTGATTTGTATATAGGTATTCTAGGTGATTTATCTCAACAATTGTTTTTGGGATGCCTACAAATTACAATGTATTAATATTATCCTTCGTTTGCAAGACGAGAGCGGTCGTTGCGAGTTTCCAGTGTTACATTTCGTTGACCTCCACAGTTGTTTTAATATTTCTAAAATCTTTTTTTTTTGTTATTTAGAAAAATGTTTATTATATATATATATATATATATATATATATATATATATATATATATATATATATATATATATATATATATATATATATATATATATATATATATATATATATATATATATATATATATATATATATATATATATATATATATATATATATATATATATATATATTGAAAAATGTTGTGAGCGATATGCTTTTTGATGCAGAATTATGACTTTTAGCAGAAATATTGCTGAAACTGCAATTAAACTGCCTCAGTTCAGACAGTTAGCCAACGCTATACAGGATGTCTTAAATTGATACTGTAATCCGTCAACATGAATTTTAATAGAGAATAAATGGTGCTTGTATTGACCATTTACATAAATGATTTCTTTTTTTAGAAATACCGATCTTTATTCAATCGGCGAATAACTGCAATGCTTCAAAATGACAAAATACAAATTCAATTTTGAAAAGAAAACGCACACCTTTTTAAGATCTCCTTGTCACTGTTTCCATTTGACGTTTCCATAAAATAGCAGTAAAAACAAAAACTATAAGGAATATCAAATGTCAATCGAAGACGCTACGTGCGTACTAGTCAAAGTATTTCGAACAATTCCATTTGGCCTCTCGAGTTTTCTTTCAACTACGAAACACTTATTACACCGCGGGTGTTAAACCAATTAAAATTTCGGATTTACTACTTTTTATATTTAGCCTGCGGCTAAACGGTGAGTTTCTTAAATGATCGATCATCAGTCAGAGGTCGGCGCCACAAAATGTCTCTACTTGATTAAATTAAGGTAAGTGTTATCATTGATTTACATGTTTGTGCCTTTTAAATTGGCGTTGTCATTAGATATCTATTAGAAAAACAATATGTCCAATTAACCAAAGCTAACCAATTTTAAAAAAATCAGAAGCACGAGCAAAGCAAAGTTAAGTTTTCAAATATTGATAGAAGTGTTATGCAATTAATTTACTTACGTCTCTTTTGAAATGTGTTACAAAGACGCCAAGACTAGTGTAATCAAAGAGATAGACGCGAAGTGTACGCTGTTGCTATATCAGTTTCAAGCGTTGCTATCATCAGCAAGCATACGTGTCCAGGGGCTGGAGTTTACAATATAAATGAATATTGCAATTTGGAACTATCTTAGCATCTTTTTCCCAAGGGCAGATATTGTCTCTGTACGATATTTAAAAAGTATTTAGTATTCGTAAATTACAAACTTGAAAATGACGTTAGTTGTACATAATAAGTACCAGAAATAATTTTAAAAAATTAAGGCTCAGAAATGGTCAAAGTTTTAAACCATGAATAATAATAATAATAATAGTAATAATAATAATAATGACTATATTTGACAAAAATAATTATTTAAAACATTTACTAATAATTGTTGTTAAAATATTTGTCCAAGTTTGGCTACTCTACTGAATCAAGCATGAATTAAATTTTTCATTTATACAGTATGAATTAACTTCAATCTTATTTAAATATAATATAATTCATTCTTTCTATCTATTCTTTATATCGAACTTTGACTAATACCGGATTCATGCCCATTAGTATAGAGATTTAAAAGTTTGTTGTATTCCATTTTGAAATCTTGTGCACATGAAGGAGATGGTTGGGCATTAAATTGAAATACCTTACGGTGTTATGTAAAAGTAAGCAACGAAAAATTGCAGTGCAATTATGTGGTACATTTTAATCCAGTTTATATATTTATGCAATCTAAGCAAAAAATCATAAATAAAAACAAAATAGTTGAAGTTAGATATAACCAAGGATTCAAACAAACCTCGTTTTGCGGTGTTTGCTTAGATGCGTATATATTTTTAATGCTTTAACGTTTGTTTATTTATTCATATATATTTATTAACGGCAAAAATGTTCTAAAATAATAAGTAAAAAATATTTTAACACACCAATCCTATATTTAAGCTAGCTTCAAGTCTAAAAAATAAATGAAAACAACGAATCAAGTACAAACATTTGACAAAAATAATAGCCGTTCATTTAAAAAGACGAAACGGTGAGAAAAAAAACATTACAATTACTTAATGAGACCAGCACCAAATTCATGAAGCGGCAAATAACAAAAGCAACATAACTTAAGCCTACATTTTTTACAGACAAAAATTAACTGTCACCATGCAGAAAACTTCAATTCTAGCAAAGGTGATCTATTTCATCTGGATTTGTCTATCTCAAGCCGCAGATAACCTCAAAATTACCGATCTTATCAAAGCAAACCAGACGGAAGAAGCTAGAGCCGCATCTGAGGTAAACTGCGCTAGGTTCCCAAACATTACCAGCTACGCTGCTTTCCTGACCGTGGACGATGTCTACGACTCGAACCTTTTCTTCTGGTTCTTTCCTTCTGAAAATGACTACGAAACGGACCCGCTAATTTTATGGTTGCAAGGTGGACCGGGAGCATCCAGTTTGGTACCGATTTTTCTATACAATGGACCGTTCGTGTTGAACTCTGAACTAAATGTTACCGTTCGAGATTATGCTTGGACGAAAAACCACTCAGTACTTTACGTAGACAATCCTGTAGGTACTGGTTTCAGTTACACCGACGGAGGGTATGCCGAAAATCAAACTAAAGTAGCCCAAGATTTATATTCTGGGTTGTTACAGTTTTACGAGCTATTTCCGGAACTCCGGGATACGGATTTATTCATTGCCGGAGAATCATATGCCGGCAAATTTGTGCCCGCCATTGCGTACCATATCCACCAGAACAATAAAATGTCTAACATAATAAACTTGAAAGGCTTGGCAATTGGCGATGGCTTGAGCGATCCTAAAACCCAGCTAGTCTATAGCGATCAGCTTTACCATTTCGGTCTGGTGGACGAAAATGGACGAGAAATCATAAAAGAATATGAACGGAGGTATTTGGACGCTATAGAAAACGAAGATTTCGTTACTGCATTCATGTTTTTTGCTGAATTAATGTTCGGTACTGCTTCTGGTAGTGCAGTATTTCAAACAATAACAGGGTATTCGTCTTGGTACAATTTACTTCAGCAAACCATCTCAATAAATTTCACAAACATTAATTTGTTCCTACAAGATGAAGTCGTAAGAGAAGCCATCCACGTGGGCAACAACACCTTCAACGCTTTTAATATAGAAGTGCTCGAACATTTTGCATCCGATTTCATGCAAAGTGTTTCGGATTTAGTGGAAGAGCTACTAGAAGAATATCCAGTTTTAATTTACTCGGGGCACTTGGATATTATAGTGCCTTATCCTCAAACCGTAAAATACCTTTCGAGTTTAAACTTCACAGGAGCTGAAGAATACTCAAATGCGGAAAGGAAAATGCTAATGTGTGACGATAACTTGGCTGCGTACGTCAAAAGGGGAGGGAATTTAACAGAGGTAATGGTACTAAATGCAGGACATTATGTGCTCCTTGATCAGCCGAGGGTGGGTTATAACTTAATTTTTAATTTTGTTAGAGGTGTTGATAGCTTAAATTAATAAAAATATGGTAAGACATATTCACATAGATGTTTATTCATGTTGTATTAGACTTAGTAAAAAACATTGAAATATATAATTTTTATCATTTTGGATTTTACATTATATGGCAAGCAAAAGATGGGACCCAGCAAATATATATACAACTAGAAAGGACTTGAAGTACAAAAATATAAATATGGAGTGTTTGAGAATTAAAAGATTTTCTTTTCTATATACTGACAAAGCCCAACGTTCGGTTATAGATTACTACACGGTCTCAACTTGAAATTAAAAAAAAAAGTTCGTCTAACCAGGGTTCCAAAAAAGGCTTTGTCCATCAGGTGCAGGGGACATAGATTTTTTTCTTCATTTCTCGTCAATTTTTCTAATAATTAGCTGATATTTCAAAAACACAATATTAAGAATAATACAAAAATTTTCAGCATCTATAGAGTGTGCAAACTTTTTCCTGATAAACCCTTGACTTAAGAAAAAATGCTTTAAATATCGAACCAATTACTTTTCTTAAAAATTCTCATGCTGTATGGTAGGGTAATAAATAATACACAAACTTTACATTTTTAGTTGGGGCGGTGCGTTAATGAATCATCCTGCATATATGTTTTTATTGGATGGGGATTAGTAAGTGTGTAATCGCTCCAGAATATCAGACACGCAACCAATGTCGACATTTGAAAAGTTCGATCTGAACCGCGAAAAGTATGGAGTTGAAGCGAACCAGGCAAATAAATATCGGAAGAAGTTATTTGACAAAAGTATTTAGAACGAAATTTTGGAACTGTATTCGAAAGTTGGATCGAAAATAATAGGAGCGATCGCAAATAGGTTTTCATTGCCAATAAATTCTCTTTTGTGAAATATTTTGTAGAAACTAATAAAATAAATGGAGGAATTTATTGCCATCCGTAGGACCTCCCAGACTTCATGGACAAAATGATAGAGATTGAAATTCTTTACGGTAGTTAAATTTCATTTTTAAAGTTCTTATTATATATATTCACTTCAAATTATCAAAGTTGAGTATCAATTTATAACCATACGTAAAAATTTTAGCCTCTGAAGCCAAATCTGTTCCTCCGAGAAACATGTTTCTTAAGGACCATTCAGGTGTAATTATATCCAATTGGTCGTTTAAAATCACATAACTCACACATGTAGGATGGCTGGACCTTTACTTTACGCCCCCTTATTGCCAAAATAGTGGAAAACCATAAATTTTACGGCGACAGGCTTAACGTTGTTCATGTTGGCCACCAGTTTTTATATATTTTATAAACGACTCCGGTTTCGTTTGAATTAGTAGTCACGGATAGAATCCATGACTAATTAGCTAACACATTTTCATGACTTCTCTTTTAAAGCAAAATTATAACATGTAACATATGAAAAGGAACTCATTAAATAAAATTAATTTCTTATTATTATGTACTATATTCCGAGATATCATCCGTTCGCTCATTGAACTCCGAACACTGTTCGAAGTGTTTTCGGAGCGCGAGCATTGAAGATGCCAAAGATGCCAAGTGAGATTTTGGCGAAACGTCTGCAGGATTCCAGTCGGAGTTCACCAAGCGAACGGATGATATCCCGGAATATAGTGTCATCACATTTTTCCATCCGTGAATCAATACGTGAATATATATATATATATATATATATATATATATATATATATATATATATATATATATATATATATATATATATATATATATATATATATATATATATATATATAATACTTACAAACACGTCATTATATTCAATAAAGGATACTGTTAACAACGAATGAAAGAAAAAACCGTAGTGACAAACCAATTGGCAACGATTCTGGAAGTGAAACAGAATTAGATATTGAATAAAAATTACCTATTTAAGTAATTATTGATTTTATATGTTTAGTGTCATTGTATTTTCTAATAGTATTATATTATATATACTATATTATATAACATATTATATAATATTTACTCTTTACATTTTTAAAATATCTTAAAAGTTCCTCCGCGAGCTCTGTCCTACAATACCGACTGGTCAGCTATTGTATTACCGTCCTCAGGTTATTTCATCAAAATCCAAGGCAACTTTGAGATACACCATACGACAAACAACAATTAACCAATTTTTATTCTCTTCGTTTCTGTACAGGTAAATATAGTCACCAATCGTTTTCGCACGACCGTCCCGAAAACACTAAACCGCTCAGTATTGGCAACGTTGTGACGGGACATGTGAATCAATTGTGACAAATAGTTTTCAACCCAACCGCGGGGCAGATTACACGTTTTTCGGTAAATCATTTTGTCGCACCGGCCGACCAATCGACCAGATATATATCGGACATAAACTAGTTTGGTTGATCGGTCGTTTCACCACCAACAACAAACGAACGCGTGCGAGTGCGTGCGTGGGTCCCACTCGTTATGACCCACCGCCGCGTGACTTTTACTTTCAACGGGAATATGCAGGCAAAAGGGAAAACGAACACTTTCCGTCGGGAAACGAGTTTACCGATGGGTTAAAACCCGCGACCGATGTTAAGCAATTCTCTTTTTGCTTTACGCGAATTTGGTGTTAATATTAATCAATCAATTTCTCTATCCAAAATCACTTCGTTGAGATCTGAAACCCTGTCGATTCTCCATTATGCTTGCTTCACACTTATATAATTAAATAAATTAAAAGTAGCAGGATCCCAATTCTGGGTACTCTAATTTTTGAATAAATTTTTATATATATAAATATATAATAATATAATAAATATAGACATTTTTTTGCATATTTACGGATTTTACAAGTGACAGTCATAAATCAAACTTCACAATAGTTTAACTAGAACAGTCTTATTTAGGGACCCCAAATTTTCCTTTTTGATTTGAGTTTATGATTTTAATTGTAACATAAATCCTCAGAACCGATGTAACAAATGACATTTTCATTTAAATTCAAATTTTAAGCATGTACAGCGTGTTTAAATAAAAGCCAGTTCTATAATCAATGTTTGTTGTTTGTCACACTTAACAATACTAGGCATCTATCTTGAATATAAAACCGATTTTTTCTACTCTATACATGCTTCAAACTTAAATTCAAATAAAACTGGTTTTAAATTAAATTAAATAATTAAAAAATATATGTATCCAAATCGAGTCAGCAGTTCGCGAGAAAAATAAGTTTGAAGTTGACCCAAAAATTAGTGGTGCGTCAATTTTGATGGAAGTTTAGCATCCACTTTTTTCAGGAACATGCGAATAAAATATAAGAAATAAATCAAGGATGAGTAAAAATAGAAAAATAATATGGCATATTTGGAAAGCTTTCATCTGAAATCTGTGCATACAGTAATTGACAATTAAGCCGCATCAATAATTTCCTCATGTATTGAACCAGTTGTCACCTCCTCAATACTTCTTGACATATTTGCTTGGCCTATTGGAATAAACAGATTTGTTACAATTGGAATTCCCGTAAAACAGAAAGAAGCTGAGTGCTGTCAAAAACTACAAGATTCATTAAAATCTTTTATTATAAATTCCTCTCATCTACAATTGATAAGGTGAGCAATGGGCTAATCGCATAAAAGTGTTGCACTTCACGATTCAAGTGAACCACCAAACATTTTTCACTGAGAACCTCACCCTTATGTCGAACGCCACGAGTCAAGAAGATCCTGAAAACAGTATTTATGGACAGCTGTTAAAAAACTACAAGTATTATTTATACAGCCTATTATTTGATTGAAGATTCTAAAAAAGCCCTTTTCGAAAACGCACAACGTCGTCGGCGGCAAACTAATCCATCTTTTTCGCAAACAACCCCTCAACAACTGCATCCGAAACGTTTGATAACAAGCACAACAGAACGTAACTTAAAAGCCAGAGCTTTGTTTTTTTTTTATTATTATCTCCCCTACTTCGTCCTCGCCTTATTCTTTCTCTAGCGCACATCCAGAAAAGTCCACTTTCTTTTAACGTAATCTCACAGATGGAAGCCATAAACCTATATTACTCGGAAAAGAGTTTTCTATTTCTTTTTTCCCTTCTTATAAAAATTTAATATTACTTTTGGTGGGTCTGAGGGACGAGGGCGGCGGAACGCGGCCTAATATGAGGAACATATTTTGATATTATTTTTCCGGCTCGATTTTAAACATTTTTATTTTGTTTCTTTCTGCGATCGTTTCGTTTTGTTATTGCGTTTACTGAACGGACCCTGCTGACGGCATTTTTAGTGGCTTCGTCGACGAATATCGGCGGCACAAAAAAAACCCTAATATTATTTTCTTTTAATCATTTTGCATTTTGTGATTTATTTGATTTTCGAAACTAACTGTGGTACCCAATAACTAATTACATTAGGCTATAGGATGCGCTCAAACAGTGCAAGGTTCAGTTTCGTACTGTCAATAATAATTACAATCCGGATTGAAAAATCACGATTCTAACTCTTACACATAAAGGAAACTAAAGGGTCAATTAAAAGTGGCTGTCACTGTACCAACTGAAGATTTCAAGTCAACCCCAATATGAGCAAATAGATCCAGGTCGTTTCAAACCAAGACCTTATGCTTTCCAAACAAATTTAAATACCACTATAGAATCGTTTTTTCAACTTGCTAAAATTAAACAAAGAAGGATGAGGTCGAAATGCCAATACGAGAAGCATTATTTTCTTCCTCTGTTTAAGACTGAAACAAAAATTCAAAGCTCGTCGCCTGAAAAATTTCCAGTAGCTGCTTGTACCACAATCCATTATGCGAAAGCTATAAGCATTAATACTATCTCAATGTTAAGCTTAACCAATGAAGCACTCACTTTTAATGGTAAATAAATAAAAATAGGTGATTCTTACTATTTAATTTTTATTCGCGTTTTCATTAAATTTGAAATTCCTTTTTGCGTTTTACACAATAAACATTGCGCAAGAGATTAATCACTTCGCTCCACGCTTGACAATAGTGGCCCAGACACGATCCCAAAATGTAGTAAAACAATTTCCTTCAGAAAATTAAACCACAGCAGAATGCATGTCGAGCAATAATCACCCCGCCGCGTAATCATAATCATCATCCCCCTCGTTGTTTAACTTCCATTTATCTGTTTAAATCAGGGTCGGTCTTAGATAAACATTACCAGATGTATTAAACATACATTCATTGTACTCGGATCATTATCGTTAGCTAAAGGAACAATAGAGCATGTTGTGCAATATATTTTGCATATCGAACTGGAAGCCATTATCGACTCTTGATGTTCGATTTCGCAAGTGGGTAATATCGAGTAAACAACAATTTTGAGATTTTATATATAGTCACACCTCCTTAGTAGTAAAGAACATACTAGTCAAGAAAACAATTCAATGGCAAGAATACTGAAATTTTATAATGTCCGTTGTGTATTAGGATAAAAGTCAAGCTCTATCTGTACACACTACCTATGCTGTCCAGCCATCAAGAGCAGAAAACGCAGATTTTAAAACCCATGAGCATAAAGCGGTGTAGCATTATAGAAAATTTTGAGTAGAACAATAAGCCAGAAAACACACAAAACTTAGAAACATTTTGCAAAAGCAATTTAGGCTCAAATTGACCAAATCACTTTTAAAAATACAAAAGCTTAGGTACAAAGCGAATAGCGAGTAAATTATCATTTTTAGAATATTGAGAGTCTTTTAGTTACATATATCCCAACCGTTAAATTCCTTAGTAAGAAACAACGAAAATTTATGAAAATTGTAAAAGAAAGTTTAATAAGTTTTCACTTAAAGAGACAACCTGGATGACCGAAAATTATTAATAAAATATTTTACTCTGATATAACCCGCAATTTTTAACCAGTTGATAAAGCTTTTGTTGAGAACTGTAGAAACGAATGTTGGAAAACATTTTCTTCTAAATCGATAATCAACAGTATCCAAGGCATTCGAACGAACTTTTAATAAGTTATTAAAAATTGACGCTAATCTTTCAGTTCCGTGCCTTTTCATTTGTGATACTTTTAGAATAGTTATAATAATATGCCTAATGCCCACTTAAATATTTACAAAGCAAGAATTTCAATATTATTATTTTAATAGGGTTAAAAAGAATAGATTCATACTAAAAAATTAATAAAGTATGAATAAGTAAAAAAGTGGACGTACCCCCAAATATACGGATATTAAAACCAAGTAACTAGAGGTTAATGGGTTGATAAATCTCAACTTTTAGATAATTATTTAATTTTTTGTCGTCGTCGAAAAATAATATTCAAATTTAAATAGGCAAAAAATAACGTTTTACGAATAGATAAGTAACGCCTATCGAAAATAACTGCCGTTGTTTTTTCGTAACGTTTACATACTGAAACGTAAGTGGGAACGCGTAAATTCAAAAACCCAAAATATCAGATAGCAAGAAAAATATTTTTTGTACTCTCGTCTGTAAAATACCTAATTACGCTCCGACCTAGCGCGCGGGAACGTCATTTTAGCACGCCAGTTTCGTTTCCCACGGATCCGAGCAAGTTCGGACATTTCCGGGATTTTACCGCACGGATTTGGGAGCAATCGGATGTTTTCGGAGATATTTCCCACGCCTTGAATTTTGACGTTTGTCAATTCTGACGGTTATGTCAGTGAATGTACTCGTGTTTTGCGAAAATGGACCCAAAAACTAACGATCGTAGAAAAAATATAGTATGCAACACGTTTGGTAAACTTGTTGAGTCACACTCGTTTATTAAACACTGGCTCCGCTGCGCTCCGTGTACCTCCCGTTATTTTGGTATTACGATTGACGACACGGGAGATGAGGCAATGAGACAACGCAACCAGAACAAATAAGATAGGGAGTATATAATTTAAGATTTTATCATACTTAACACCCCAGTAGAGTAAAACTACGAAATTGCAAGATTGATTGATTGCAAGAGATTGAATTCATTCCCGTTATTATAATATCCAAGAAGCACATATTAGTCCCGTATGTTAACCTTAAACACTCAAAACAGCTTTCCTGACTTTAGACTTTGTTTTTACAGAAAATGACACAAGCCCATTTTATTATTTACGTATTATGACACGGTTTAAAATACCTAAATAAAATTTATACCACAAATAAAAGTGATTGATGACAAAATTGTAATATTTTGTACAAGAGCGTCACTAAATTGCTGTGAGCTCAAATTTTCTTAACAATAACATTCAAGAATGAATCAAAGGTATCTTTGACCCTAAATTTTATTCAGAAATCATAATAAAAGAACGATTTTTCGTAACACCTTCTGAAGAAGGCGTTTTCTGACACCTAACCAAACTAATGCTATTTTTTAACGTTTTGTTGACCCCAGAAATTTGCAAAGATTTTTCGAAACACCTTACGATTATTATGAAATTTTGTGGTATATTAAATAATAATTAAATAATTTAGTACAAGAAAAACGCTCGAAAAGAGAATGGTCGTGTAATTTTACCTCTGAATCTAATATTAAGTGATGACTCGATTTCAATTAATCAAAGTGAAACGGAAAACAAAAATCAGTGA